AAAGGAAGACAGCACCAGAAACAGAAACTGAAACTAAAGCGTTTTCAGCGATGTGCAGTAGTGCGAAGGATCCCCTGACTTTTCACACATAGCTGCACACACACGCACAGGATAGTGATACACTGATAGGAAAACCCTATTCAATATATACAATTTTCGACAATAATTCGTCATTTACTGGAACTGATGCCACTAATTATTGTTCTATACTAAAAATCTGTTTTAAGCATAAAATTTACCTTTTTGGTTATACCTTAATTATCAATAATCAATAAAATTGACTAAAGCTTCTTATTATTAGAAGTTTAAAAGATGAATTATTTGTTCTGGAATGCTCTTCTAACATAATATAACATAACATATAACTATTATTATATTTTCTATTTAAATTCGACACTTAAAGTTTTTCCCATCATTAAAATTGTTTTTTCTTTTTTCATCTCATTATTTGTTTTAAGTGCATAGTTTCGGAAAGGCAACGTGTGAGTTGGTGACTCCTCTCCATGACAACTTGATGGATGTGCGGGCGTCAAGCAGCTGCTCCAGTGGGCCCCCGTCCATCATCCTCCGGGGCCATCAGCAGCACCATTCCCCACCCACCCAGGATGAGCTCTTAACTCTGGCTGACCGCAAAAACAAAACAAATTCTGCACTGATTGCCAAAAGGGTTCTTTGGCCACGCCCCAGTTCACCTACGTCGCACTCCATAACGGTGCTTTAAACACAGCCGATTCTGGGGCGCCGACTTCATTAGGCCCCAATCCTCATTCCATGCCCAATCCCCATCCCATTTCCATTCCCAATCCCTATTCCAATCCAAATCCGAGTGTTAGGATGGGCGTGAATGCCTTCTTTTGGGAGCTGACCAAAAATTAATTGGCTGCTCTGAGCCGGCCGACAGCTGCCATTTTGTGCCTGCCATTTGCTATGCGTAGACATGTCAATTCCCCACGCCGAAAACACCACCCATCCGCCCACCAGCCCATTCACCCATCAGCCCATCTGGCCACCAGTGCCTCCAGGTAGCTTAAAGATTTATGATAAAGCCAACTAGCGGGCCTGCCAACGGAGAATGGCCGAAACGAAACCCCCAAATCAGCGGGGGAGGTGAAAAAGTTTATCCAACTTTGGCTTTAACTTTGGCATTGGCTCATTGCGGCTCGTTTATCTATGAAATGAAGGAATCTGATTGCCAAACGAAGCGTTCCCAGTTGGTCTTTCAACTGAAATAACGCGACGTTTGCTTGAAGATTTTCCGAAATTATTCAGCTTGCTGAATATTAAAATATCAAATAGAACAGAAATTGATTATATTTTATTGATGACATTTCACAAGTTAATTTGATGAAGGGCATTTCCATATTTTTGTGTTTCCGTAAAGCCATTGGTAATTTGGTATGCAATCGACAGTGATGGAAAAGGTTTTACTTGTTTGCGTATACGCAATATATATATAGATATGAAGAAAGTAGATAGAGGAAATATTTATGGTATTTATATAGCACTCAAAACAACAAGTAAATGTCTTTCCCTGAAAATTTTAACTTTAAATAAGGAAAAATATATTTTATTAAACAATAAATATCTTTGCTATATTTATTTATTTATTATTTATCATAGTAGTCAAATAGTTAGTGATTGTTCGTACTCTTATGTTTTTTTCTGTTATTTTATATTCCAACTAAATAAAAGGATATATATTTTATAGGAAACTCAAACTGAAACAATTTTTAAATAGTTGAGTTTAAAGACAACATTTTAAGAAAATAAAGTAAAAAGTTTTGAAAATTTAAAACTACAAATGTTAAGCGGAAAATTACTCTGATTTCCCCATCCCTGCCAATCGGGTGGCTTAATGTTGAGTCCAAGGCACCCTTCTCCTCGAGATTTGTGCGTGTCGCAGCTTATGCTCTGGCTTAAGCGCTTAAAATGCTTTTTGACAAGAACAGCAACAACTCTGGCAGAGGCGGCAGAATGATAAATTCGTTCCCCTTCCATTGTTTCTAGATGGTTTTTCTCGTGTAAGCCACGCGCCGTCTAGCAGCCCCATTCCCAGTTGGAAAGCCCAGTCATTTGACATCCCACTCGTCCATTTTCCATTTCCCCAGCCTCGCTTTTCTGCACAGTAAGATATCTGTGTAAAATTTCATTGCCTATTTTGTTTTCCCAAATTTCTTCTTTTTTTTTTAACGCTGAAAATCGCAGCTTCACCAATTTGCGCTCAATTAATTTTGTTGCTTCTCTTCACTCGCCTTTTTTTTCGCTTGGCTCGTCATTTTTATATTTGCGGCTGTTCTCTTGTTTATTATTTTCCGTCCCAAGTATAATTTATTAAGTTGCAAACATTTTGCGAGCTTTTCGCGTTTACTTAAATATTCACGGCCATTGACGGCACGCTGTAATTCAATTTACTGTCTTTTTCCTGGCTTTTGATGGGTATGCAGTAACTGCGTTTACTGTTATTAATTAACTGGCGTTTTATGCAGATTTTAAAATTAAATTAATTATGCATTAATTATGTTGTAATCACGTAATCATAATTTACGCACTCGCTGTGGGACTGCAATCGGTTAAAAAGCATCAGCACGTGTTTCACAGCACTTAATTACATTGGTCTTGTGGTCAGACATCAACTGATGTACGAGATGTTCACATATTCAGGTACAAAAATATAACTGACAGAAAAGAAAAGTCAGAGGATCTTTGATTTTGTAAGCCTCGCAGAACATTGAATCCTAAAATGATCTCAACTAATTCATTTATGTAATACCATAATACTTAATAGTTGCAAATATTTTGTATTATTTCATGAAATATTATTACTTATTTTCACATAAGTTTGAGTATTAACAACCAATATTATGATATTAGCTGATTGAGAAATTTTTAAATTTCTTACGTATGCGTAATATCTTTGGTAATAAATTTTGTGATGCTTGTTATTATATTACGTATACGTAATATCTTTGGTGATGATTGTTATTATTGGATTTTTTAAGTTTTCTTTAAAAATCCGACTAATATGTAACTTTATGAAATCAAAATAATATTCCAAAATATTTAAGGTTCGAATATTTCATGTGTGCCTAAGTGTTGTTTTTCTTTTCCAACTACCACAAACATTAGAAAACAATTTAGTCATAGTAACTGGACATCAATGCAATTAATGTACTGCAAGGATTACTCATATCTCAGTTGATACTTTTGCCGCCTTCCCTTTGCATTCTGAGTGATTAATCCTTGGAACCTAATGCCGCCTGTTGGCTGGAGATTTTAGCTTCGTCGCAAGACCCTTTGAAAGCTTTTGACAGCACGCAAATCCCGATTTCGTCCTTCCCTGCTCTCAGTTTTCTGCTTTACTGCTACCGCCTGCAATATTTTTCACACTTGATATAACAAGCAGCCATTTGTTGGCCCTCCTTGCTACATTGCTCACTTTCCAAAGGACTTCTCCAGGTATCTAAGCGTGTGTGCGCCTCGCAGCTTGTTTGTATTTGTGTTTGTGTTTGTAATGGCTCCCAAGGCGCACAAACAAAACTGTCATCGCAATTGCAGCTGCTGCAGTGGGTGGCAGGAAAGGTAGACAGCATAGGGCGGAAGCAGCACTCAAATAAATGCAGTTCTAAAATCAGCAATTCGTTTTGAAAATCAAAGGAATATCGCTTAACTGGAGCCGAAGGAAACACTCAAATAAATGCAGCTTTTAAATTTGCAATTCCATTTGTGATCCCCAGGTTTGATATTCCCAAGTTATTTTTTAAAGTTAAAAAGGAGATTTAAGAATGTCAATTCTCTTGTGCTATGTTTTCTTTGAGTGCCAAATCAGCTAATTATTGGAAATTTAAAAGTACTATTAAACTCTTTAGGCTCACCCTAGTGACTTTTTGCATTGGAAAAGCGACTTGTTTTTTGCCAGTGTGCCTGCAGGATATAAATCTGTCGGCAGATGTTTCCAGGGCCCGAACTAAGTCAAAGCGAAATTCGCCTGCGCTCGTTTGCCGCCTCTAATGCAATTTTTATGCTGCACTTGCTCCGCCGCTTGCCAAAGCTGTGAAAGCTTCCGTTGCCATCTCCTCGCCATTGTTTCTCGGCTTCCTTGTCACAGGCAGCGGTTCGTCCTGGCCAGGCTACAAAGGCGACGAACTTATTAAATTGTCCGACGAGCTTACGTTTTCCAGCTCTGATCGAAATATCTGAGACATAATGCAATCTGCACACCGCCAGCACCATTCCCACCAGCAGCTTCATTAAATGCAATCCCTGGCTCGCGTTAGCGACATCGCACGAGGTCCTGGCTGAATGTCCTCGCCACGTTTCAGGCGCTGTCTTTGATTATTATACTCTTCCGCATGGAGAGATTATTATGCGTTCTGAGTTGCAATAAAAGGAATCCTTAAGCTTCAATATTTTGCTCATAAATAAAATCGGGTTTTTCTGTGAGAAGTATCTAATTTATTCAAACAGATTATTATATTGGCAGACAATACGAAGCACTCAAACTAGACAAATACTTAAGCTTAGATGCAATTTTCAATTTAATTCTTGAAATGAAAATTCTAATTAATAAGGCACATATTTATTAAATAGATTACTTGACTTATTCGGAAAAGTTTAAATGTGCTATTTAACCTGTAAACCAGGTTCTTTAATATCGGTAAATTAAATAAAATTTAAGCTAGTTGAATTTTTTCTTGATTTTTACCTCTATTCGCTGTACAAACATTACTTTATAGTTTCTCAAGCGTTTGTTGCCCAACGTAATTAATATCAATTTTAAAAAACTTTTCTTTAAAGTAATTTTTGTTAGAGCCAATTATGAAATGAAAACTTTCTCAACCAAGATTAGCACTTGCCAATCTTTTCCAACAAGTGAGTTACTGAAGTGTACAGGATATTTTTTTCACTTTTCTTTCATCCCCTCAACAATGGATGGCCGGATAAAATACCTATGTTCAGGACACTGAATGGACAAAAAGGGGAAGGACAATGGAAGGACTCACCTTTCACCAGCGTAAGGATGCCCAGCGGCATGACCAGGACGGCGACCATCAGATCGGTGATGGCCAGCGACATGAGGAAGTAGTTGGTCACATTCTGCAGCCGTCGCTCCCAGGCGATGGCCAGACACACAAGGATATTCCCGGCAGCCGTGCCCAGGACGAGGACGAGGGCCAGCAGGGCCCAGTAGTTGTTGGCATCGAAGGGGACGTCCTCGATGACGGTGGCATTGCCACTGCCGCTGGTGGCATTCCACCTGGACAGCAGCAGTTGATTATGCCGATGGCTGTCGTTTCCGCCCGGCCGCTCCTGCTCATCCTCCTCCCACAGGACGAGGTGCTCCGCGCTGCTCCAATCCTCGCCACCGCTGTCGTTGTAGGCACCCAGCGAGGCATACACATCCTCTTCCATTCCGCGTTATTATTCCTATTGTGCGCTCTACTCTGATTGCTGCAAATGCCGCATGCTAATTAGCCAACGCATATGCAACGCAAAAAAAAAGAAAAAAAGAAGGGAAAACGTCCTCTTGCGCCGATTCGATTCGAATTGCAAATGTAAGGTGGATGCAACGGACTGCACCGGAAATGGGTGAGGAACGCGGGATCAGGATCCGCGAAAGGGACAGGACGAGCTCTCACGGCACAACGTCGACTCCAACGGCAACCGAACGGATATTGGAGGCAAACATTTTATGCCACGAAATTGCCGGAAGTTTTTGCTGCAATCAAGAAAAGAAGAGAATGGAAAAATTAATGAAAACTTTCTCAGTGGGCAATCTTCACAGCGAATAAAAATACCTTGGAATCTTAATTAAATATCAAAAACTTTAAGCATTTAAACTTCTTCCTTTAGCATAGGTAAGAAAATACTTAACAAATGTTTTTTATTAATTTTCTTAAAAAAATAAATACTTAAAAAAAGGTTTTGAGTATACTTATATAGAAAAGCCTATGTAGAATACATTATAAATACATATTTAACCCTTTTTTAAGCGTACATATATTAAAGTAGCTTAGAACTAATTTTAATACCATTTATTAATTTCAAAAGAAGCTTAATGTAGACAAGTAATTTTCTTAGAATACTCAAGTTAGGTTAAACATTTGGCTTCCAATTTACAAAATCCCTTACGTTGACATTTGGCTTCTCTCTGGGTTGGCCTGGTTATTTCACCCCAATTGGCTTAGAGTCGATAAGTCATAGCACAGCTCCATGAGTAATAATTAATGGGCGGCCATAAATTATCCAGACCTCCGCCCACTCTTGTTTACTCGATTTTCTGTTCTCTATTCAGACGATTGGACGACATAATTGCATTTGATTTGCAGGAACTAAGGGCAATCGGTAGTTGCCGCCGGGTAAAAAGGGACTTTGAATAATCGAAATCGATAGTGATAAGCAACAATAACAGAAATCAAATCAATTCTCCGCTTGCGTATGTCACAAACATGGATAATTAATTGAGGCATATATCACGAAACGGACAGAGACCCTGGAACAATGGCAGGGCCAATAACCAAAATTCAAAACAGTCCTAAAAGCCCAGGAAACCGCAGACAGAGACCACAAGTAGCGGTGGGCTATTGTGCGCCCAGAACAGCACTAACATGAAAATTATTTCCAAAACAAAGAAATAATACAATTCCCCAGCCGCAGAAGCATAACCAAGAGTGGTCAGGTCGGAGGAGAGGAAAGGAGCCAGGGTAGACTATTTTTGAAGCTGCTCTAGAGTCGACCAGACAAACAAGTAGGAATGCCACACTGAGAGAAAAACAGACCCTTAATATAAGTTATACTTGATTACCTTCCTGTCTCCTGCTTATATTTCTTAAACAAAAAACCTTTATACTAATAAAATGATTATGATAAATTTAATTTTGAGTTGTTTCAATATAGGTGGTTCCCGCTATTCTGATTTAATATATATTTGTACTTCAATGAGTAGCATTTAATTTTGAATTCATTGTAATTTTATTGTTTTTTTCAAAGATTGTGGTGTATAACATTTTACTTCAAAAATTTAGTTTTCTACACTCCACTGTAATTAGCTCTCAAAACATCAAAAAGCTTTATATACATAACTTAATTTAAATAAAATATATTTTATAAATTTTTGTCCGTGCAGTCGCAACAGCAGGCTTAACTTTGCAAAACAATACACAACATTTGCAGAGATCGAAGGAATGGTGGGGCGGTGGAGCGGTGGAGCGGTGGAGTGAAGCAAATCGAGCAACTTTGGGAAAGGACCTCAACTTGACAACACCTTGTTGACTTTGCGAGGAGTTGTGGCACTGGCTCGTTCCTGTCTGCACGTCCTGCCAAATGCTCAAGTGTCAATGTTGTTGTTAATTAATTTTCCCGACTGACTGACTGACTGACTGACTGATGCATGCCACCAGATAAGTGGATCTCCCACTTCAGGCTGACCCTTGCCGAAGTCCGGGCGGGCGCCTTGATAAACTGTTTGTTTGCCCCGATGTTGGCCAGCTTGTAGTTGTAGTTGTAGTTGTTTCCTCTGTCACTGCAGCCGGCTAATGACAGCCAAACGGCCACTTCAAATGTCCTCGTACATGGGCCAAAGGTCGGGTGCGTGTCGAGTGTCCCAGTGTGTTTGTTTGTGTGGGCGTCAAGTGTTTAAATTTCCAGCTGCTACAGTTATATTTATAGATTAGTTGGTAAAACAGGTCACAACTGGCTTTTGGGACAGATAAAAGGGCTCACGGGTTTAGGGGTAATACCTTTTAAAGTTCAATATTCAGAAATATAAATTCGAATTTTAAAAGGGCAAGTCCTCCCCTGCAATAGGAGTATGAGTTTATTATTATTTTAAGGTAATACATACATATAAAATTTGAATTCGCCCAAGCTGATACTTTAATAATTTTTTTTATAATTTTTAACTATTTCCTCGCAGGTTATACAAATTTGAAAAGTGTTGTCTCTTCACCCTGTTCCTTATTTCCCCTTCAAAAGAGTAGCCACCATTCATATAAACAACGTAAAATTCTTTTCAGGCGAAAAATAGCATGTCAGCACATTACAGAACCCAAAGAGTCAGGCCCCGAGCCCATAATTATTATTCAGTCCCCACTCCCGACCAACGTTTGGACATGAATTGCAGGAAAGCCATGTTTTCATGGCAGGAGGGTCGGCCATTCGAAGTCGGGGGCGTGCAGGTATTGAATAAAAAGCGGAGCACCATTAGTCATATTAATCCCGGTGGAGTCATTAAGTCGTAAAACAGCGAAAGGTAGCCAAAATGCGAGGCGGCCTATCCACAAAAGTGAATTCGGGCGAGGCGAGGCAGGACGACTTTTGTTTGTCTGTCACTTCATTGATAGACATAAACCGACTATGTGGGTCAATTTCGACTGTTTGCCGCTCCGTCAAAGTCAATAAATAAGTAGATGGCAAGAATTTGAGGTGTCTAAGGCGTTACGTATACGTAATTTGATCAAAACGTAGGAAGCATGAAAAATGATGAAACGAGGGGTAGTATTTTTATTGGTTAACAGGCATTCTTTTTATTTTTATTTAGGTTTTATTTGGAGGTTTTTAGTACAGTTTTGTAAGATATTTTCGGTAGTAACACTGCCGCAGTAATGCTATAAAAATATATATTCCCTAGCTTAAAACACATTTACTTATGATAGTAACATAGCAGAATTAATTACTTGATTCTTGTTTACTTTAGTTTTTTTTTTTTTTTTTTAATTTTCTTAAATATTATTTATTTGTAAACATAGAACCCGTACAATCTTTAAGTACCTTGACAATGTAGTTTTGTATATGAATTTGAACCAAACCTCATGCCTTCAGCAAAAGGACTTTATAATGTTTACTTTAGTAACTTTAGTTTTATAGCAAAAAATATATATTAAATATTCTTCACAAATATGTGCATACTTAATTGGGTAACTCAATATTTATTTATTCTGTATTGCTAGTTACGAAACATTTCTTTAAAACGGAAGGAAAGTGTTATTGACCATGAAGGAATCGAATTTTTCTGGAAATCCAGCAGTCGGTATGGCTTCCGGGTGAATCAAGTTCAACTGCCCAATCCGATCAGTGTTTCCACTTAATTCCACTTCTCCAGCATGCCATTCCAAGTCCATCGAAGCCCAAGGGGATGAGTGAAACTAATCGCATGCTCATTGCTCATCCGCCGCCCTTTCCTCGGCACATTGCTTATCCGCAGCGTAATCTGCCGGCTTCCCAGAGCGGCGCACACATCACATCACGCATACGCCATGTCGGCCCGCCCAAAGGCACATATCTGTTTCAGTGGCTCTGCGAATGTGTTCTGCCTGTGGGGCAAAAAACACAATCCAAGGTACCGCAAACACTGCGCAAATATTTGCTTTAAAATATCTTTCACATGTCAGCGACAAGCGGCCACCGGGGAAAATGGCGGAAAGGGAAAACTCCGGGAACTCGGTAATACGGTAACACGGTAACTCGGAAAAGGGAAAACTGAGACAGGTGCGGTCGCTCGGTATTTTTATTTGCCCTGGCAGCTTAAGCACGCAATTTGATTTAATTTCTGTTCGCTTTATTTATTTATGATTTTTGCAACGATCAAAGCGAAGCGAAGCCCACAACAATTTCGGGGCCATTGAAATTTGAATTTAAGCCTCGGCAAAGGTGAAATTGAAAAGAGCGATGATATTTGCTCCCTTGTGAGATTCAGTTGCAAATCTGGTTGCCATTCACATTTTTATGAATTTTGTATGAACATAAAAATAAATAATCAAACAAAAAGTCATATTCGACAAAGGGCTTAAATAGTCTTAAACAACATGAAGCTTTGTTTCAGGAAAAATACATTTCCCGCAGCTTTTACCCCGAAATGGAAACTCGCAATTCCGACATTTTTGCCATTCATCTTTCCTCTGTCTTCCAGAAATTATGGCATGCATGTAGACTACTTTTGGGCGCTGATGTAATGCGTAATATTCCGTTAACTAGACTTTTCCGGCTTGCCGAAAACAATTTCACTCCGTCAAGTCAGCGAACCGCACCCTTTGCCGAAAAACCACCGACGATTAATCACAGTGACAATTGTGCAGAACAGTTTTGTACGTTGACGCAGTTATTCTGAGGCACTGAAACTATTTACATGACTTTCGGGAAGTGTGGCACAGTGGATAATTAAAAAAACAAACAAGACAGCCTAATAGTCACTAAAAATTAAGAAAATAATGTACAGAAATAAGAAAAACAGAAATAACAAATCGCATTTCGCGTTTATATACAATACAACATTTATACATTTTTTGAACCATTTTTATGTTAGTTATTTTTAAGTTTCCGATGACTTGTAATGATTAAAAGACATTTCATCTGATATCATTTTTAAATAATCCATTTTTTTTATTTTATGGTATTTTAATGTAGAGCATTTTAGTTTCTGGCAAGACAGAAAATATATGTTATATATTTATTCATAGTTTGCGGTGTGCCATTAATCACACAAAGCCGACTCCAGCCCCGCTCTTCCGGATAGGGACTATCTGGGCGAGCCAGGAGCCCAACTAGTTGTCATAGCAAGTTGACACTTAAATGTTAGCTAAATTTACACATGCACTCAACTCGAAGTCAACAAATGGAGCGGAGGACTGGCGGGCGATGCCAAACAATGCTCTCGAACGGCTCAAGGATTCCGATGCCCCAGTCTTCGGTGGCTGGGTGGGGATGCCCATGTACGTGGAGGGG